GTTTCTGACTTACAAGCCTTTTTTGACAAATCTAAATTCTCTCCTTAATTTTATTCAGTTTGCATGCTTTCTTTTTTTAATCATCAAGACATTACTTTTATTGTGATTTCTCTGCATTCATTGCTGTCATGTGTATACAAATGGGTCATACAGCAATACAAATGTACATTTTGCAGTTAATTTTCTTTGTGCTTCTCAACTTTTACTAAAATCAAGCCTTTTTTGACAAATCTAAATTCTCTCCTTAATTTTATTCAGTTTGCATGCTTTCTTTTTTTAATCATCAAGACATTACTTTTATTGTGATTTCTCTGCATTCATTGCTGTCATGTGTATACAAATGGGTCATACAGCAATACAAATGTACATTTTGCAGTTAATTTTCTTTGTGCTTCTCAACTTTTACTAAAATCTAATCTCATGCTTTGAAGAGACTCCATTTTACTCTTTATATATTTTAATATACACATATTTCTATCATTGTTTTTCTATTGATAGTAAATGATGGGCCATATTAGAAAATCCATTTACTGTGTCTTAGATTCTTCTTACTAGTGTGAATTTGAAGTCTTTCTCTTTTCTTCCTTTTTATTTCAGTTTATGTTTTAAACACATCACACACAGGCCAGCTTTTAAATGCAGGGATATGATACGCAATCCATTCACTACCATACCTTTTAAATGCAATGTGCAAACCTTTTCGTGCTTGCCTTTTACCACATTGGTTGCTAAATGACTCAAACATCATTGGAAAAAATGATATTGAATATTAAACTGTGACTTGAGGGTGTCTGTTGGAAATCATTATTCATTTATATATTTAAGTTGTATGTAACTGATCAGCCATTATAGACAATGTTTATACCTAGGTTTAGGCAAGGAACTCCTAATTTATATCAAGTAAGATAGACAAAGCAGGAGTTGACCTTGATGACATTCTTACACGTTTTCAGCACCAAGAGCTCAGAACACTGAACCAACAAAACATTAACCAAACAGTAAGCAAGTGTTATTAAACTAATCTCACACAGAAACTGAAGCCATATGTACCTGGACATCTCCTCCAACACCTCCAACCATGGGGTCTTCTTCTAAAACCTTCACCATCTCCACAGATGAGGCAGGGTCAAGCATGGTGTCTGAATCACACACCTGCAAAGGAGGACGCAAAGGTCACTTAAAGAGAATTATCAGTACACTACAGTCAAAATTAAGCTTATGCACTATACCCTCAGTCTCATTGTCACAAAAACCTCAGTAAGCAAGTACCACCTGCATGACAGGGTTTTTCATATTGTGAAGAATATAAATGGTCTTTCAGGAAGCACAATAGACTACTAGGCAGAAGAGTTAAAACGATGTGATGGGTGTATGTAATCAGCTTGCCCCAGTTTTCCAGAAATGTTTCAGATTTTGGCAACAAAAGTTTCATGTCCCAGGTAACATTTCAGTCCTGGCAAACTGAGATAGCTTACCACTGAGATGGTTCATTATAAATAAAACTTTTAAGCAACTTGTACCTTAAGTCTGAATTATTAAATAAGTGCTTATTGCCGAAAGGATAGGAAGACACACTTAGAGGGGATCCCACTCCCCTTTTAACATGGTAAATAAAAGATAGGAAAGTAGCTCTCTCTTCCAAGTGACTGTACACTTCTGAAGATGTCCATGTGTCCTGGACTTAGCAAATGACATTGCCTAAGAAAGGGAGCTATCCTGATTTCTTTATTCCATATTATTAAGCTGTTCAATCCTTAGAGTTTAAATGCAAAAGCAAATCACCAAAAGTTATCAAGAAATGCCCACTGTTATGTTTAACACAAATTTTCACATGGACAAAATAGAACACTTTTGAAACCAATTATGACTTCAATAAAATTTTTCAAATTCCTCCATATGTGGGCATCCATAACAAACCATTCTATAGGAATCCAAACTGCATATGCGGGTGATGGGAGTTGTTAATAGTACTTTTTCTTAGCTTGATTTCAGAATCAACTGAAAAGTTAATCAGAATAATAAAACAGATGAGAAAGCCCAAAGCCTCATCTGTGTCATTAGGAAGCTGATATAAAGAAAGGAGCTTACAATTATGGAGAAGTGAGCTTCAAAATTTCGTTGCCCAGATATCTAAGTAGGCTTAATCTCCTACTGCCCTTTCAAATGGGTGTCCTGATGCCTGTTTCTTGGGGGTAGAACAAGCCCAGAAATAACAGGGAGACACTGAACTACTCATGACTCCTTCCATACTCATCAATTAGATGAAGTTACTAATTTTCTCTGGGAAAGTTGTAAGACATCTGGCAAAGGCCAGGTGGGTTGTGCCTGTAGATAGAGCTGGCTTCATGAGCATCATCATGGACAACCAGACCCTAAGAACAAAGTATGCTTATACTGCTATCTGCCTGGAAGTTCTTGCTCTTGTAGGACTGGATTAGTGATTGGGGAAGCAGGTTGATTCACTGTGGGGATGCTCTTTTTGTTTTGTTCCTTTCATATACTTTCATGATTTGGCATTTCACCTTTACATCATGTTGTATATACAAGTCATTATGAAGTACCCTTGAGTTTCTTAGTCTCTAGCACTGTGAGCCAAACAAATTTCTTTTCATCATAAATTATCCAGGTTTAGGTATTTTCTATAGCAGCAAAAATGATCAAAGGTAATAGCCCCATAACACTTATTAGTGGAACACAGTATTCTTTTCTTCTGAATGCAACAAAACACTAACAAATATAATTTTGTCAGAGTTGACATGTAATGAACCATTTGACAGCCTGTTATAGCTTGAAGGTAAAATGTCTTCTGTGGGCTCCTATGCCTGAACACTTCATCCCTAGCCAGTGGTACTATTTTAGAAGTTTGTAGAACCTTGAGAAGGTAGAGTCTCACTGGAAAAATTGGACCTCTGGTGGAGAAGGCCCTGAGATTTTTAGCCCATTCCCACTTCCTGCCTTCTTTGTTTTCTGACCCTTGGAGATGTGATCCAGTAACTGCAGCAAGCTCCTATGACCATAAAGCCACCAGCAGCTCTGAGTTCCCAACCATGAAGGATTTATATTCTTTCAAATCCTGAATCAAAATAGATCCTTCTGCCTTTAAATTGCTTCTTATCAGTTATTTGTCCACAGCAATGAGAAACATAACTAATACAGATCCCTGCTAGACAGGGAACAGAATGATGGGAAGATCTTGAACGCTAGCCACTTCTCCAAAATTCTATATACTACCATCAAGTCTGGCTGTATCCATTTCATTAACTCAAGATTTATCCTAGTACACTCATGTGCCAAACAATGACATCTTAGCCAAAGCTGGATGCCATATTTGCAAGTGGTCCCCTAAGCTGATAGCATTTAGTCTTAGTTTGTGTATCCATACTTTATGATGCTTAAATAAGGACAGAATTCACCTAATTACACATTTTTCATAGTATGTTACTATTATCAACCTGCCCATGACTACTCTTAAAATCAAAACTAACAATCCAAGCAAGCCCCCAAGAGTGGAAGACAGTTATGTGTAGCATGAGCCACTCAAATTTTTAGCTAAGGAATCCTAACATTTTTGAAAAGCATGTTTTTACTTTACTAATGACTTTTTCTGAAAAGTTTTATTGCTATTGGAAAATATTGATGAAACAGTTATTTAAATATAGTATTGGAATTTCAAGATTTAAGTACTACATGGGGCATATAATTATTAAAATCAAACCTATTTATATTTTTATATTTACCTAGTTATAGTAATTTGTTATTCAACTTATAGATTTTTAAAATTTTTATTTTGCCTATTTAGAAGCAGTCATTTTTAAATAAAATTCTATCTACTGTTTTAGTTACTACTGTTTGTTTTCTTTTATTTATTTGGAATTATATTTAGGTTCAGTATTGCCATGTGTTTTAAAGGTGACAAATAGACAGAAGGCAGTCATAGCTTTTTCATTCTAGAACACATTCTAGGCCTTTACTCATACTCAGTTCTAAGTCCAAACATTCTAGGCCTGGGAAAGTGGCACAGCAGTGAGCTTTGCCTCTCCTGTGCCTTCTCTATCACAAGTTTGAATCAGCATACATGCTGGGTAGGAGGCCTGGAATAAGGGTAGAGAGAGGTGAAGACAGAAGTCCAGCCCACCTCTGAAATCCAGCATCCCTCCTTCATGGGCCACACCACCTCTGTTGACTTAAGCTGGGAAAGGTAAAACCAGAAAGCTAAAATAAGATTAAAGCAACAGGAAAGGAGTGATCCAGAATTAATGTTCAAACAACCCTGCCTACTTCTGAGCACAGGCAAGCACTAGGAACTGTCACTTTGAAAAGACATTTGAACCACACTTCTGAGGGTGACATATTTAAATGGGTCTCTGCCACTCCCATATTCCAAAAACAAACTGCCAGAAGTTCTCTGAGAGACTCTTAGCCTGGTGAATTTAGCTGTATCAGGAGTAAAAGTTCTCAGAAATCTCTTGGGGAGGGATTTGTTATCATAGGATTTAAGAACTTTAAGGAATTTCAATGTCTGGATCTTGTTTGATGATTAAATGCCAACTAGAAATCCTGCTTTTGCCAGTTGGAAAAAGCATGTGCATTCGGAAGCCTAAGTGTGTTTACTTAGCAAGATGTGAAGAATATAGCTTTGGTCCTTAAAATTCATCTAATAGGACGGAATTTCTAGTTTTCTCCTCACCAATTAATAACAAGTATAAAATGAATGCTGGCTAGCTAGAACTCTGGGCTAGAATCTGGGGGAGACGTAAACCACTTCCTACAGAGTTAAAAAATATTATGAAAAGCTATGGGACATGATTCACATCCAGGAAACAGGGCACAAATCAAAAGTCTTTTGTGCCACAGTAAAGGTATCATTGTGAATTGCTAAAACCACATGATGATTGGTTAAAAGATTTCTCACTAGCATATAATAGAAATAAAGCAAAATAACAAGTAACTTCTGAGTAAAGTGAGTAGAAATGTCCAATCTATTATGATGAAAAATCAGCCACCTCAGTTTAACCACAGAAAGGCCATGTCTCGTCCTTCTCCAGCCCACTTTTCCAACCAAAAGTGAACAAAAATATCTTCTCTTTCCTCCCTATCTAAGACTGGGGCTTGGCAACGAAGGCCTTTGGGTAAAGACCAGCCTGCCATCTGTTTTGATATTGCCCAGGGGTTAATAACAGCTTGATATGTTTAAATAAAAATAAATCAAGAGAGGAATATTTTGCGATGCATTTTAATTATATGAAATTCAAATTCCACTTTCCAAAAATCAAGATTGACTGGAATCTAGCCTTGCTTGTCCATTCATCCATTACCTGATGCTGTGTTTACACTACAACAACGACAAAGAGTTGCAAAGCATAATGTTTACTTTCCAGTCTCTTACAAGCAAAGTTTTTCAACCTTGGGTTCAAAATAATTAATCACAGGAAATGGATTCTATTTTCAAAAAAAAAACAACGCTAAGAATAAATGTTTTATACCCCAGTTTAGTTATACTAGGCTTTTAGAAGTTGCCTCCTTCTCCATGTGATACTGAGTAGTAACTTCATAAAGCATAAAATATTCATAAAATAGTCTACAGATATTCTTTGGTGAAAACTAAACAAAGTGTTAACAAAAACAAGTGTCCACAGAATCAAGAAGTCTAAATACATTTTTATTTATTATTTTTATTTTATGGGTATGAATGTATTGTCATGTATATAAGTGCATTTGTGTTGTACATTGCCCCTGGAGGTCAGAAGAGGGCTTCAGATACCCTGGAACTAGAATAATGGAGTAAGTGCTCTTAAATGCTGAGTCATCTCTCTCTAGCCCAAGAAGCCTAAATTCTTGCGTCCTGTATCTGACTACTATGCAACCTTCAAGTTGTAGCCTACCATTATCATGGTGTACTAAGTAAGACATTAATTATAAAAGCATTGCATTACAAAAAATTATAGACTCTCTCAAATTATTATTTTTATATGACTTTAGTTAGAATTTTTTTGTCAGGGTCTCACTATATAGCCCAGAGCCATGACTGGCCTGGAATTTACTATGCAAATCAGACTAATCTCCAACTCTTAGAAATCCTCCAGCATCTGACCCTGCCACTTGAATGCTGGGATTAAAGGCATATCCACCATGCCTGGCCCATTAATTATATT